TATTGAATAATCATGCCTTGATCTTTCATGGTCGTAACTCTTGAAAAATCTGCTTACGCACAGTCATACCACCTGACAAGTTTGTTTTGGTTTGGTTATGACTTATGTCATAGCTTAGCATATTTTGGTTAGTAATCAATCAACTTTTTAGATAGTTTTGACATATCAAAATATATGAGATTTGGGCTGATTGTGATTTGTGAAGATGGGAATGGTTCTGTGATTCTCTGCAATTTATCATTGGCGGAAAAAAGAGATGAACGTACCATTGCCCAGAAAATTTTGGGTCGTGCCACTGTTCAAGACCCTAGATTACTCTTAGATATTATACAGATTCTTCTGATATTGTACAAAAACTTGAATTCTTAGATAAACATCAAACAGTAATTAACTTTTTAGTTGCAGATAAAAGAACTTGTTATTTCACATATATATGTAAGAGGGTAAGCTAAGAGCTAATTGATTTGATATCCTGAATCAACTTCTCTAGGTTGATACAAGAAGACCCACCTTCCTTAATACTATCACTAGCCAGCCTTGTAAATTTATTGGCTGATTCCATGATTTCTTCTCTTTTATTAACCATCAGTTCTCATACTATCACACGTGTTCTTCATAATAAATCCAATTTTCCAAACCTCACTTACACACCTACTATTAACCGTTGGTCAGCAATTTTTGGCAAACAAATCATAGGCACTCCATCGACAATACCCTTTAACGTTGAGTTCCGTCCACTGGGTGTCAAAAACCCACCAATGGCTGGGTGCGAGAGGACCTCCTCTTGCGGCGCCCAACTAACGATGAACCCTCTTTCCTTGGTTCCCTTTTCCAGCTCCATTAGAATATGACCATTATTGGCATCACCAATCAAATCAGGTCGTATGACCCATAAGAATGATTTTTCACTCTTAAATAAGCCATGCCAGAATTCCAAGATTTGGTCCCGAGTGAGCCTTATCATACTCCCAAAACCAACATATAATACTGAGCTTGTCGGTTGAGAATCAAGCCGCGTCAAACATTTTTTGTGTCCTCTCCCATAAAATACCATTGGATGAAGTTGAAGGTGAAGAGTTATTGATGCGTGACTTGAAAGCATGTTGAGGACCAATGGCGTAAATTATGTTGAGAAAGAACCCAGTCTAGTTATCATAGGGGCTTCAATTTCATTTAAAGATTAAGACCAGAAGCTCGAGAAGGCAGAGGTTTCCTAATGAAGAACTGCAATATAGGGTCATCGGCTTTTTCAAATCTACAAAGCCTGGAAGATCTCTCCGACGAATAATATTTAGCCAGGAATGCAAGAAATAGGCTTGTCAAGGTTTTCATCTGCAATTACAATGGACCCTAGCATCACTATTTTTATCAAATATTTTTCTCAATGAAAGCTTTTTATTTGATAAGGAAACATATATACCATAATAAAAAAGATCTGTTTGGGAAACTTATTAGGCTATTATTATCCATTATCCTGGTGCTTTCCACCATGTCAATCCTTATAACAATATAACTGGAAAGGTCTGTAATTATCTATAATATATACATAGCATATTCCTCATTGAAAAGATAGAGTACGATATATAACTACAAAGTTACCGGACCACTCACATCCCCGTTTATTAACCCCTTAAATATAGATGTTTTGTTGCATTTTGAATCTTGTCCTTCATGTATGTAGAGTTTATGAATATCTAATATAATTGTATCAATTAATATTGTTATTTTAGGTTTATATTCTAATTATATGTCCTAATTGGTGTATCATAAAGTTAAAGAGACATATAAATGATAATAATGAAAATAATAACAATACTCGCCTCCAAATGGAACTTCCCCTTTCAACAAGCTTGGAAAGATGGAAGGAAATCCACAAGCAATGAGCACTGTAAGTTCGAAAAGTAATAGTAGGAATTTCAAACTCTTCAGCAACATCAATGGCAAAACATATATACCATCTGCTATTACGCACGTTGGGAGCTGGAACGGTCCCTTTTCCTCTTTAAGTGAATTCAACAGCTACGCAAGGCCGGCTTGAACACAACCCTATTGAAGAAAAGCAAATTTTTAGCGTATAGACGGAACGTGGGTGATCGGGCGGAAGACCATCAGATATATAGACCTGAACTGAAACTTGGGGAAAGCGATTACAGAAGGCGGATATGTCAGTGTTGTGCAGGAGAGGATTACACACAATCATGATCTGAACTGAAACTCAGATCATGATTGTGATCTGAGTTTACGGAGGGACTTGAAAACCCGCACGGCTAAGAAGCAGCCTAGACTCAGCATGGGCTTGATGTAGCCCTGTGCTGGGTAGGGAACATGCATTTTCTCCAATTTTTCGATGGGTCTGTGAGGATCTTTTGGGGAGTGGAGCAGAGTTTTCAATGCCAAAGAGAGATTTTAAAACTTTTGGAATAGAAAAAACAGGTCACGCTAGAAGCAAGAAGTGAGGATGAATTGAACTTTAGAATTAAACAATGCAGCTTCAAATAAAAACTTTGCGATAATTAATTAGGGCATAAGATTCCAATAAACAGCAGGTTATGAATTTGTTTTATATATCTCTCATGAATCATCGGTGTTGTCCCTTAGCAACCAAAGAAACATAAGGTACTCAAAGCTTTCCAAAATGATGTTTTTTTCTTTTTTTATCATCATGGGTGTCAACTTGCGTGGACCTCAACTGATTCTCTAGAACTAGGGACTAGATAAGAGTTTTAGTGGTTATCCCTATTGTGTGGAGGGACTGAAACTCAAGAACTCATAGAACCTCTTTCTACTCTTTTATGATTAGACTATCCAATCTTGGTTATGATGTTTTCCAAAAATCACATGACTACTTTATGAATCATCAATATGACATTATTATCCCTCCCAACCTCCAAATTATGAGAGCTGATACTGCAACCCCACTGCACTGCACGGCACTCTGCAGTTCGCACCATGTTAACAGAAAGGTGGGATGCGGTGCCTGAGCGTTCTCACTCCCATGAAAGTAATCCACTGTGTCAACCTCTGTTTGATTGATTCCTTTATGCAAGTTGCAATTAGAAGCAACAAAATTACTATTTGAATTCCACCGGTTAAGCTCAGCTGTTCTCTCTTTTCTTCTTGTATTATTCTGATTGGGTGTGTGTATGTGGCTCAAGCTTCAGAATTAATCACTGATTTTCTTCTTGCAAACTGGAGGACAAAGTATTTTATTTATTTAAAACATATTAGATATACCAAAGAGCACATTTAAGCACCGTCAGGTTAGATATGAACTGAAACTTAGGGAAGCGATTAGGAAGGAGGATATGTCAAAGTTGTGCAGGAGACGATCATAGTGTGATCGTGTGTTTATAAAGGTAGCTTGAAAACCCGCATGGCTAAGGAGCTCGGCCAGACTCAGCATGGGTTGATGTGCCCCTGCGCTGGGAAGGGCAAGAAGCACGTGAGGAACGTTTGTTTTCTCCATTGTTGCGATGGTTTCAGTGTGAAGAAAATGGTTGAATGTTGATAGATAATTAAAAACTTTGAAATATAAAAAACAAGGCAGGTTGGAAGTGATGTAACATGAATTGAAGTTTAGAATCAAATAAAGTAATGCATTCACAACGGGTTTTGTTGTCACACCTTAACTGGCTTTGGTTATGACATTCTAGTGTTTTCTGACTACAACCAAAACAAAATGTTAGACAAAACGTGTTCTCAGAAGTCCAGACCACCATTAAAACAGAAAGTGGTTTCCTTTTAATTGTAACTTAGGAACGCAGACCGATTATTTTTTAGTGTTTTAATATTTTTAGAATTCAGGGAAGGTCACGCTGAGTGAAGGGCAGGGGAAACGAAATTGCCATTGGTATCTTATTTAATTCATCATGCACTCTATAAATAGTTTAAAACTAGGTTGTTTAAGGAGAAGAAACCAGTGAAGCACAAGATACAGAGCAGGATTCATGTAAAATCAACTGCTAGGGTTCCAAAAATGAAGGAGAAGAAGCCAAAGGTCAAATCAATTGAGATCAGTGGTCAAGCGGCATACGTCGCAATGCAATGTAATTCATCAGTTTTCTTGTTTGTCAAAGCAGTGTAATTGAAGAAATTAAGTTGCCGTTTTAAAGTAGAGTGACATGTATAGCATTATATTCATCAGAAAATGACAGCATTCAAGTAAGCACAGTTTCGGAGCAGATTGTTCTTACATCACACAAAAAACTTGAATAGTTAGCTAAAAATCAAATGGTATATAACATTACACTGTGGCTAAGAGCTCATTGATTTGATATCCTGAATCAGCTTTTCTAAGTTGATACAAGGGACACCCGCTTCCTTAATACTATCACAAGCCAACCTTGAAAGTTTATCAGATGATGCCATGAACTGGTCTCTCCTATTATCCATCAGTTCTCTAACTAATTTCTCAACCATCGATCATCACAATGTCCTTCATATCAAATCCAATTTTCCAACAATCACTTACACACCTATCTGTAACCTGTTGGTCAGCTACTTTTGGCCACAAATCATAGACTCCAGCAACAATACTCTCTAACGTCGAGTTCCATCCACTGTGGGTTAAAAACCCACCAATGGCGGGTGCAACAAGACGTGCTCTTGGGGAGCCCAACTAACTATTAACCCTCTTTCCTTGGTCTCCCTTTCCAGCTTCATCAGCAAATGACCAAAACGGCATCTCCAACAATCAGGTCGGATCTTAGACCCATAAGAAAGATTTTCCACAGTTAATTAAGCCATGCCAGAACTCCAAGATTTGTTCCCGAGTGAGGTCTATCACGACTCCCAAACTACATATATACAGATATGACGGTGAGAATCAAGCACTTCAAACATTTTTTGTCCTCTTTCCACAAATACCGTTGGATGAAGTTGAAGAGAGGAGTTGTCATTGATACGTGACTTCAAAGCATGTAGGGGGACCAATGGGATAAATTTTGTTGAAAAAAGAACCTAGTCTAGTTATCATAGGAGCTTCAATTTCATTAAGGTGTTAAGTATAAGACCGGAAGCTCGAGTACACGCAGAGGTTTCTTTAACAAAGAACTGCAAAACAGGGTCATCGGCCTTTTCGAATCTACAAATCCCTGGAAGATCTCTACGGCGAAGAACATTTTCTAGCCCAGGAATGCATGAAATGGGCTTCTCAAGGTTTTCATCTGCAATTAATTCAGAAAATTAGAATTTCAGTTAACTTATATAGTAGGATTCCCAAATGGTATCAGGGTAGACTAGTCGAGCTTTAATTTTGGCAAAAAAAATTAGCCCTCACCTGGAAATGGAACTTCCCCTTCTGCAATAAGCTTGGAAAGATGAAAGTAAGTCCACGCAATGAGCACTGAAAGTTCGAAAAGTAATAGTAGGAATTTCAAACTCTTCTGCAACATCAATGGCAAAACACATAATACCATCGGCGATTATGCAGCTGGGGAGTTGGAACGGCCCTTTCTCCTCTTTAAGTGAAATCAACAACTCACGGAACGCCGGCTTGGACACAGCCCTAGTGGAGCAAAACAAATCTATAAAGTATAGACCGAAACGTGGGTGATCGGGCGTTAGACCATCAGGGATAGACCTGAACTGAAATTTAGGGAAGCGATTATAGAAGGAGGATATGTCAATGTTGTGTAGTAGACGGTCATGATTGTGATCTGAGTTTACGAAGGTGACTTGAAAACCCTCATGGCTAAGAAGCTCGGCTAGATTCAGCATGGGCTTGATGTGGCCCTGGGCTGGGAACGGCAAGAAGAGCACGTGAGGAACGTATGTTTGCTCCATTGTTGCGACGGTTGTGAGGAGCTTTTCGGGGAGTGGAAACTGTGTTTCAGGGACAAGAAAATGGTTGAATGGCGACGAGAGATTTTTAAATTTTCTGTAAAAGAAAAACAGAACTGAATAAAAAATAAGACAAGTTGGAAGCTCGATGCAATAATCATGCAACTTCACATGAAGTGAAGATTTGCAATTTGCGATTAAATTAACACTATCAATTAGTTTTTTATTTTCCCTTCCAGAACTTTTGACCAACGAGAAGATAACGTAAGTTCATCAATTTCCAATTCTATAATTAATTTATGACCACTAAATTCAAAAAGGAGTATTATTGTTCAAAAGACACTTAATATGATAGTATGGTGATTACGAATGTTTCTTTTTATTGGCTCTCCGGATTCAAACTACTTTAAGATTATTTATCATATTTATGATTTACTTGAAATATTAGGTTTATAGAATGCTTAATTCAGTATGCGTAAACTAGTCTAAACTCATGATTTTAAAGAAAAAATTAGAAAGATTGTAAGTCATTTGGCATTTGGGACCGCGTCCAAAAACCTAATCCAAAAACCCAGTCCTAGCAAGCCTGGTCCCAAAACCGGACTAAGCCTAAGGAGGAGGGCTCGCTCCCTCCACTGGGCCCTCCTCCAAGGCTCGGACCCAAACCCTTTTGGTTTTTTTAGCCCCCTGGATAATTATTAAAACCTCTTATAAATTTTGAAATAAACAAAAATTGTAAAGGTTAAAATAAAATTTTAAAAAATTAAAAAAATTTGCATTTAATAACTGTTGGCTGGGGCGGCGGGCGCTGGGGGTGTGGTAATATTTTATAGTTTAAGAGGGTTGAAAGATGAAATGAAAAAGAAGAGGAAGAGTTTAGTTTACTCGATTTCAGAAGAGAGGTGTGACGTAGAACTTCTAGCAAATGAATTCTTCGACAAGGCTAAGCATTAGAAGCCCAAACTCACGGCCCAAAGGTTCTAAATGGGCATGTCAACTTTAAACAACCATAACTTTTGATCTAGGAGGAATTACAAGGCTGGTAAGATATCAACAGAAGACTCATTTTAAGCTAGACCTGTAGGGTTATTTTCGAGGCCGAAATCCATTGTTTCGGCGTGTTTTGAGGCCGTTTAAGTTTTCTGTGCATATTTCCCATTTTATTTAGAGTCCTTTCTTATTTTATAATTAGTCAACAGTTAGAATTTCTTTTTTTTTTTAATTAATTTGGATTTTATTTCCTTGTTTAATTAGGAGTCAGGGTTGGTTGTCACCACCATATATAAACATATTATTCATTTCTTTTGAGGATATATAATGATTTTTAATATTTCCTTCAAATTTTACGAATTAAGTTTTTGTGATTGAGACTTGTTTATCAATCTCTTAAAGGTATAGTTGAGTGCTAGCCTTGTTTTTACTCTAACTCATTGTGTCAAAAGGAGGAGAAAATGGAGAAGAAAACAAACAAAAAAAACAAACAAAAAATAAGGAGAAAAATAAGAAAAAAATAAGGGTTTTATTGAAAAGTATGATAAAAAGGTCAAAATTATCCTTTAAAACTGAGGGGCTTGAGCTCGAGCTCGAGTTGCACAAGTAATGGAGCCTGAACTGAAACATAGGAGGATTATTAGTGGATTAGTCAGGATGTTATAATTAAAAAATTTGAAAAGAAAAGATAAATAATTCTTTCATTATGCTTTCAATGACAAGTAATCTAGCTAACATTACTCTCTTTCTTGAATCATCAATCATGTCTGTTATGCCTGGAAAAGTAGGGCTGACGCAAAGCCCATTCAGCATAAATGATCAAAGTCTAGGCAGATCCTACAGCCGTTCAGGCACGGCCACGTCGCATGCTGGCATGAGCAGCATGTTCCTGCCAGCGCAGTGGGTGCGCGCCAGACTGACGAGAGGCTGGAGGCCGTCCACGTGTCCAATCCCTGCATGAACCAAGGCAATCACGCAAGTAGGTGAACAACGGGATGCAAAGAAGGATTTGCACGGTACTTGACCCCTTTTTACGGATTCAGTAATCATTACCTTAATGTATCCCACTATAAATAGAGAACTTCTCTCCCGTTTGTGGGATTTGCTCATTTTCACTCTTAATTAGTTATCTTCTCGCTGTAATAGCTTACTCTCTCTCTCTCTCTCTCTCTCTCTCTCTCTCTCTCTCTCTCTTTTTCTCTCTCTCTCTCATCTGTATTCTCAATACTCTATAAGTCAGCTCGCTAAGTCATGACCTAATCTTTCAAATATAAATACAATATCAGTGGACGTAGGATTCGCTTGTTTAAGCATCCAAACCACTTTAAACATTGTCTTTCCACCATTTACATTCTCAATCCCCCATTCACGTGTGTCTTCTAGGCCAGCTTAACATTTCACATGTGTATTTAATTGGTGTCAAAATCACGCATCAACAGTTTGACGCCAGAAAGAGGGCCTGATTTAGTATTCATCCTTCATCAGGAGAATCTCTGCTAACTGGTCCTACAACAGCTAATGGCTCGTCGATTCGAGCCTAAGCGAACCAATCATGGTGCTGAGGAGATCCCCTAGGTACAAGAGGACACTTCTCCCGAGGTGCCCTCAGTTCCACAAAATGTCACGAAGGATATCCCTTCAAGCTCACAACTTGACCATATCGTCATGAGCTACTTGGAAAGGTTCAACAATACTCTCCAAACGGTTAACTAAAGGTTGGACCGTTTGGACCGGGGCATGCCACCTGAATCAAATGGGGCAGTGCAACTGCCAAAAACGCCTGCAAGTCACACGAAAGCGCGGAAAAAGATGATAGCTCATGACGCGAGCACTACGACAGGTCAAAGGAAAGGTAAGCAAGAGGCGAACAGCGAGCCTAAGGGCTCCAAAGGGCCGGCAAACACCAACCACATCCCGAGTAGAATACCCGTGGCATTAAGGCTCGATGAAAAGTCTCATCCCGAGCCATCCCATGCCACGTCGCATAAGCACTCCCATAAAAGTGCTAGGCGAGGCGATTCTCATCACTGCCAGAATAACGATCCTGATCGTCATCATGCGAGAGGTTCTCACACTTCGCGGGGTGGTTCATACCACCGTGGAGGTCGTGAAAATTCCCTGCACCATTCATCGCCATCACACCACTCTAGCCAGCGAGTGTCAAGGGCAATCGGAACTACCGGCCAAGGCGAAGAGGAATCTGACCTCCAAACTTTCCTCAATTGCAATCACGAGAATCGAACTCGCATGGGGGAAAACAATCCCCAGATAACTCCGCTGCCTCATATTAGGGAGCTACAGCGAGCTTTAGATCAGCTAAAAGCTCAGCAAAATGAGCAAGGGCAGGTTGCAGCAGCGTCTCCCTTTTTTCCAGCGGTATTAGCCGCCCCTCTCCCATCAAGATTTAGAATGCCCGATATGCGGGCGTTTGATGGAAATTCTTATCCGCAGAATCACTTGTATGAATTCAACGACTTGATAGAGCTTCACCAGGTTTTAGACTTGGCAAAGTACCGTTGTTTGGCAGTAACCCTAACCTCTCATGCCAAACAGTGGTTTAGGTCGCTTCCAGCGGGATCGATCAGCTCGTGGCCTCAGATGAGCACGATGTTCCTGAGACACTTCCAAGCAGACCGAAAGTTCTCAATGCCTTTAAGCTACCTCAGCAACATAAGGCAAGAGAGTGATGAATCCCTCCAGTCTTATATCGATCGATTCCACAGGGAGCTTAATAAGGTATTTCACACTCCTGAAAAGTTTGTTCGGACTCTTATCATAGCGGGAGTTCCCCCACAGACCGACCTGTGGAAAGAGCTACAGGCTGAGAATGATGTTTCCCTCACCCGCTTCTACAACCTTGCGAAAAAGTACTTCCGTATTGAAAACTTCGTGGTGGTGCTCCACCGCCATGACCTCAGCGCTTCAGGTAGTACGCCTGGTCGAGGGGAAAGTAGGAGAGTTGATCGCAGATGGGTTAATGACGATCAACAAAAAGGAAAGAAACCACGGTTCGAGCCCAAAAAGTCTTATGCTTCAATTCCTCGTCGCGATCACAACAGGAATCAGTATACACCTTTGAATGCATCTATATCGGCTATTCTTGACAAGTCAGAAGAAGTCAGCCTGCTCGATGAGCCTAAGCCCATGAAAAATCCCCCATCAGCCACCGATGAGTGTCGAGCTCTCAAACAGGCAATCAAAGACCTCATCAAACAGGGGCATTTCAAAGAGTATATTGATGACTCCACTCCCATACAAGAGAAAAATCAAGGGGAACCAGGAAAGAAACGTCGTGATCGTAAGGGTATCTGTAGCGTCAGAGTAATCTTTGGAAGACTAGCCCTGGAAAGATACGCTCGCGCAGCCCATCACGACCCTATCAGTGTGATGAACATGACGCGGTGACCACCAAAGGTTCGCAAGGAGGAGGAAATTACCTTCTCCGAAAAGGACGCAGTCTGATTACATCATCCCTATGATGACGCTCTCATGATCACGCCCCTAATAGGGCGTTTTGACATCCACAGAATGTTGGTGGACAACGGAAGTGCTGTGAACATCCTGTTCCAGACAGCTTTTGAAAGAATAAATTTGGATGAGGTTGACCTAAAGCCTGCCTTGATCCCCCTATACGGTTTTACAGGAGACCACCTGATCCCCAAAGAAACAATCTCTCTTCCAGTCACGCTAGGTGACTCTAACGAGGGGACCAAAGTAACTGAATTCTTAGTAGTGGATTGCCCGTCCGTTTTCAACGGCATCCTGGGGTGACCTCTACTAAGAAACTTCAAAGCGGTCACTTCGATATACCATCTCAAGATGAAGTTCCCCACCCCAACGGGGATAGGGGAAGTAAACGGATCTCAGAGCGCATCTCGCGGCTGCTATGTAAGGGCAGTACAGATGGCGTGCAAAGGGAAAGGCATCTTGCGCGGCATTCCCAAATAGGCAATGGCGATCAGCCGAGTCGAACCACGGCCTGGCCGAGTCGAACCACGGCCTGGCCCAGCCGAGGATAATATGGATCCTCGTATTCAGGAACCTTCTAGTGGGCCAGTTGAGGATCTATCTTAGCTGTTGGTCGACCAGAGCGAGCCGAGCAGAGTGTTGAGGATTGGGAGCAATCTCAACCCTCAGCTCGCCACTGAATTGACCAGCTTCCTCAGAGAGACTATCGATGTGTTCGCA